ACCAAAAAAAAAAAAACTTAAATTGATACCTAACTATGATAATTAAGGTTAAAAAATTACAATACAAGCAATCTCAATTGTCTAGTATGTCAATTGTTCTTCCGGTGAACTTCCGGCGAACTCCCAGCAAGCTTTCAGCATATCGTCCAAACCTTCGGTGTAACGCCTATCTATCCGTTCTCGATGCTTTGTCTAATTCTTCCAGCCCGATGCCCAATCTTTGACTCCAGCCCAACATTTGATTCTTTAATTCTTTTACCTTTTCATGATCATAGTTAGTTCTGCAACATAGTTAGTTCTGCATGACTCCAGCCCAACATTTGATTAGATCATAAATTAATTAATTTCATTATCAAAATTTAAAATTCAACATGAAAGACTATATACTTAGGAACTGACTCATCGTTAAGAAGAGGACCAACGATCAACCTGCCTTATAGAGGAGAACTAGACCTAAGGAGAGCAAGCTCCTAAAGGGGGTCGTGGAGGCTTAAATGAGAGGATGAGCATCACCTCCATAGTTAAAAGGAATTACTTTTCGACCACTCGTATCTACACTCACCTACCTCATGTTACTAACTTAGGTGTCGAAGGAATCAGGTAAGGAAATCTCTCTGGATTTTAGTCTTCGTTTTTACCTCAAACAATCTTACGCACAAGGATTTGAATTACGTTGGGCTGATCAAGATGTCAATGACTTATTTCTTATATATATTTTTATATATAATATAATTTGTCCAAATACTCTTTTGGTACTAAAGTTTGTAAAGAGTATTAATGATGGCTTAGTTCCAAATAAGAGTTAACTGTAACGTATACAAGAACACTCTTGTCGAAGATATTAGGATTAATTTATGTAATTTTATTTTTAGAAATAGAGAGATTAAATATATGATTAGAATTTTAACCATCAAATTTGTGAGAGATGATAGAGAAAATATTCAACTTCAATCACTACTCGACATCTAAATAATTAATCGATGTGATTATGGGGAACTATCTATAAAAGCAAAATTGGACATGATAATTGAGATTTGATCTCTCTCTCATCACTCCTTAAGGATCTTTGTACAAGAGAGAACACTTGGGACTACACTACTTTGGAAGCTTAGAAGTTCGAGCACGACCAAGGTATCTTATGCGGATGAAGCTACTTAGGATCAAGTCAACTATCGATCTCTAATTTTATCAATGTTTTTTTTATGTTAAAAGAAAAGCTCATAAGCCTTTGACTTCTCTAGTATGAGACACTAATAAGCACATTTAGTCTCATGTTATTTTAAAGTAAAAACCAGAGATTTATAAGTGTTAAAGCCACCTTTACCTTTTTAATGTGAATTTTGAAACTATCATGAATGCACAAAATCATCTAAACTTATCCAAAATGAATAATCTCTCGAAACCCCACATTGATGATGAATTATCAAAAGAATAATTTTATCAAATGATAAATATGAAATATGAAAACAAGAGGTATATATAAATTACCTATTAATTAATGAATTGAGATTATGAATGGCATATAATTAAAATGAATTTTTTACTCCCTTAGTGACTTCAAAGAAGCCAGCATCAATGCATGTCATCCCTCACCTCATATTGTAGTCCATGTGCATTGATGGTGGGGTTGGCACACCTCACCCATCCATAAACATCATGTCACGTTGGATCATGCCTTGATGTGATTATGGCTCACCTTTCCATTTCGTGGGACAAGCTCACTCGTCCAAACGGATTGTGTGAGAACTATGGTTAAGAGGGGCCATTAATGTTCAAGGACACATCCATTGATTGATTCAAGTCATAATTGACCTCGAGATAGGAGAGCTTTCAATAAATAGCACATTACCAAAGCATGGCATTTGACTTGACCAAAGGATGGAAATTTGAGGGAGTGGCACACACCATGAAGAATTAATGTGGTTTGAGTTGATTCAAAAGTGACACATATTATTTTAGATTATTTTAATTTATTTAAAATTATTTCACTTTTTTTTTTGTAATATGCATATCGCAATATCTTAAATACGTAGTTCCCAATTTATCGATGACTCCAAAGTACTAAAAGATCCAAGTTTGCATAATTGAATGCAAAATCCTAAAGCTAACACCTCATTAATTTTTTTTTTTGGTAAGTAAAAGTAAATTGATTATGTGTAAAGTTTCTACAAATAGCTTTATCTATACAAGTCATAGACAAAGCCAAGTAACTCATAGAGTGCGAATGCGATAGTTACGATTTTTTTTTTTTTTTGGTAAGTCGCGATAGTTATGACTACACATGCTGTAGATTATAACTACCTATGGGTACATTATTTGGCATCATTCCCAAGATCTTTAGCTAATAGCAAAATTAAATTTGATAAAAATATCTTTTTCTCTTCGGGTGAAGTGCTCGGTTTTGAGATCATGCTCCATACAGGATCTTGAGTCTCTAATAATCTCTTTCAAGAGCTGAGCATTGTTTGTGTGTTGACATTCAAAGATTCTATTACATCTCTCCTTCCACATCCACCAAATAGCGCATCTGAAAGTAATCTTTGCCAGTTGTGTAAGTGGCCCTTTTCTTGAGAAACATTGCATAAGGTCGCCTAGTTCTTGGTGCAAATTTGGTTGCGGTAGTCTATTGAGTTCAAATCGCTGGAGAATCACATTGCATAAGGTCGCCTAGTTCTTGGTGCAAGTTTGGTTGCGGTAGTCTATTGAGTTCAAATCGCTGGAGAATCTCGTCTATTGAGTTCAAATCGCTGGAGAATCTCCTTCCATATCCATTTTGTATAATCACAAGCAAAATAGAGGTGGTCAACAGTTTCTTCTTGTTGCAAACAAAGGGAGCATCGGTTAACATGATAGATACCTCTTCTTTTCATATTGTCTATTGTAGGTAGTTTATTGAGAAGGGCCTACCATGTACATAAGGAGTGTCTTTGTGATCCCGGTCGATCCCATGTCCAACTGCTTGGGACCCACTTGTTATTTCTTTACCTAATTTGATTCCATGCGGATGTGGCATTAAATTTGCCATTGTCATGAGGCCAAATAAGTATATCTGAAGAGTTATTCCTGATTGGAATAGCTATGATAGTCGGCTAAAGTGATAACATTTCGGGAGAAATAGGATTAGGGAGACACTAGGTACCGTTAGCAATGAACTCGGAAACCTTCCAATCTTTGGGAGCCCCAAGATCTTTTCGTATTCTGTCGCCATATAATTGAAATATACTCTTCCCATTCACCCAAGGATCGTACCACATATTAGTACTAGTTCCAGAAGAGATTGCATAAGAAATATGTTTGATTAGCCAATTCACCTCATTAACTTTCTCATGCATAGAATTAGAATGTATGCATCTGAGTAATGTAGTAAACACGTTATATATATATATATATATATATATATATATATATATATAGTTGTAATCCAAATGACTGTATGCATGTCTTCATCATTCAAACCACATAAACTCCCTCCTTCTTTCTCTCTCTCTCTCTCAGCCATTCAAATGGCAGAGACTTCATCAACGCTGATAGCCTTCTTCTTCCTCCTCTCCCTCGCTGTCATCACCGCAACTCTACCTTCCACTCTGATCGAAGAACTGAACAAGCCCCCGCCGCCGGAATTCACTGCACTCGTCTCCAACTGCGCCCGAGACCCGTCTCTCCGCTAATGCAACGCTGTGACCACTGACCTCGCCGGCATCTACAAGTCCACCGTCGTCGCTCGCCATCTCTGCGCTGAGTCCAGCAATCCGGACTGCAACTTCTCCTTCGCCAAGATCGACCTCTGGTCGCGCCCCCGCGTCGCACCTCTGTACCTCTCCTTCGCCTTCCTCTGGTCCTACTGCCCCTCCTCGATACGGACCATCGACCTCGCCAACAACTCCCTCCATGTCGCGTTCCCGTCGGATGTGCTCCGTTGCTCCCAGATCCAGTCCCTCGATCTGAGCCACAACCTGCTTGTTGGGGACGTTCCTTTGGCGGGCCTCGCGAGCCTTGCGAACCTCTCCTTCTTGAACCTGTCTTACAATCGATTCTCCGGGTGCAACAGAGAAGGAGTCGAACTCTTCAGGAGGTTCGACTCGTCAAGCTTCATTCATTCGGGACTCCTGCCGGGGGATCACCGCCATAGTTCCGAGATCACGGCGACCATCTTGTTGCTGGTAGGAGTCTTGGTCTCAGTCCTATCGGTGGTTGGCTTAATCGGCCAGCTGCTACTGCGTTAGAGGAGAGACAAGTTCACGACGGCAATGCTACGGAAAGCAACCAATGGGTTCTCGGAGACTCTGGTGAGGAAGGCGGACGGGGAAGACGTGTACATAGTAAGACTAAGAGATGGAGCAGAAATCGAGGTTCATGTGCAGAGAGGAAATGCTTTTCGTCGAACGTTCGGCGAAGATTGCAGGATTCTTGCGCAACTGAGGCACAAGAACGTAGCCAAGGTGATCGGGTGGTGCGATCGGAGGGATATGCAAGCTGTAGTGACGGAAGGCGTCCATGTCCGCAGCGTGGAGGAGTGGTTGGTGGTGGCTCCGCCATGGAAGCAAAGGCTGAAGGTGATGATGGGGGTCATGGACGGCATCTGCTACCTCGACGAACACTGGCCTCGCGTTGGGTACGACCTGAGGACCAGAAGCGCATTGCTGAGGGAAGACATCGAGCCTTCGATCTGCAAGTTCAAGGTCCGAAATCCGGATTCCGAATCCACGAGTAAGCCTTCGTGTTCCTTGCAATACCATCACTTGATCTACTCACCGAGCAATCTCCTTTGGTCATCTGGTTCGTAGACGTATACTGGCTCGGCATGTTCGTCTTGGAGGTGGTGGCCAACAAGAGGCCAAGGGAAGCTTTGGAAGCAAGCGAAACAGGGTTCATAGATTGGGTGAGGCTGAAGTGTCCTGCACAGATCAAGAAGGTGGTGGATGAGAAGATGAAGAAGCTCACTGCGGCTTCTTTCGAGCAAATCAAGCAGGTCACCGCCATCGCCTTGGAGTGCACCGACGTATCAGCCGAGGGATCGCCGACCATGAAGCACGCCTCGAGGATGCTTCGTAGAGCTTGTGTACCGAGCTCGGCGCAGGCCGTTCATGGCCATCATCATCATCACCACCATCATCATCAACAGGCATGATTAGTGTTAGTGTAAACAACCTTAAGCTGTGGCCTCGGGACCGACCCGATTGGGTTCGGGTCCGAGTGATTGGGGATCTTCCTGGGATGACCCTTGAGACTGCTGAGGTGGCCGCCTGCGGTGGTCCGATCGGGATGGAGCAGTCGCTGTTTTCACTAGAGAGGGACTCCTCGCCCGGGCACGCGGTGGGAGGCACTCTGTCTTCGCACCTGCACACAGGTCGGGTCGGGGGGCTCGACCTGACCCCTCCAACGGTCAAGTCAGTGGATAGTCTTAGGGAGTTTTTTTTTCCTCTTCTTTCCTTCTCCGTTTCCTCGGAGCGCGAGGGTTTTTATAGTAAAGGTTGTTGTTGCCTGATGTGCCTACGTGCAAGGAGCAGGATCGTACTCCCGGTAATGTCTGACAGCGGTGTTGGCGTGGCGTAAAGGACCGAGCCTGAGCAGGATGTTAATGTGCCTCGGTCGACGTTCCGATCTGTTTGACTAGGTGCTGTCAGGTCAACCGAGGCACGAGGTGTCATCAGGGGCGACTAACGTCAAACCGAGCCTTATCGCCATTATTACCCTCATCATATTCTCCCCCCCCCCCCCCCCCCCCCCCCGAAGGAAGCTATGTGTCGATTGTTGTAAGGGGGAGTCCGAGGCATGGCTTCAACTTTAAGAAATTATCCCTACCGGGCGGTTGCCGATCCGTTACCAAGGGTATGGGAATCGTGGAGTTTAGCAACTAAGGAGGGCTGGGCGTGTAGCGGTGGTCTCAAGCAACATGCAACCGAGGAGTAAGACTCAGTTGGGCAGGCCGAGTAGAGGTGGTCTCGGGCAACATGCAGTCGAGGAGCAAAGACTCAAGCGGGCTAGCCGGGCAGAGGTGGTCTCGGGCAACATACAACCGAGGAGCATGACTCAGGCGGGCTGGCCGCGTAGAGGTGGTCTCGGGCAACATGCAGCCGAGGAGTAAGACTCAGGCGGGTTGGCCGCGCAGAGGTGGTCTCGGGCAACATGCAGCCGAGGAGTAAGACTCAGGCGGGCTAGCCGCGTAGAGGTGGTCTCGGGCAACATGCAGCCGAGGAGCACGACTCAGGCGGGCTGGCCGCGCAAAGGTGGTCTCGGGCAACATGCAGCCGAGGAGCACGACTTAGGCGGCTAGGTTCACGCAGGCGTGGTCTCGGGCAACATGCAACCGAGGAGCAACTTGGCTTGGATCATCAATCTGTTACATAGTGACGTGCGGATGCGGGTGGCCAGGCCATTCTCTGTCTGGGGAAGCCCACGGGATGGTCACTTTTGGGAGTTGCTGGTTTTCAAGATTGAGAAGACCAGCGCTTCAGCATCCGCACCGCGTGCCCGTTGGCTACCACGTCAAGCCATATTTATGGCGAAGTGACGTTTGGTCTGCTTGACGTGACGTGCTTCAGGAGAGGAAGGGTCGTTTTTGGTAGGATTTTGCCTATAAATAGCGTGTTGTTGGCTTCCTGCACGTCTCCTTACTTGCATTCGCTCAGTTGCTTCTTTGGACCATATTGCTTCATCTGAATCGGCTGTCCTGCTTCTCCTTCCCAAGGTCGGTAAGGATGGCTTCCCCTTCTTCTTCGCCCTTGCCTTCTTCACCTTCCACCTCCGGTAATGTCGGAGAGAAAACATTGCCACCGAGCCCCAGCTCGTCATCCGACGAGAAAGCGGCACGGGGTCTCGAAGCCCTAATGTGGTCGCATGACCTCGACTCCACTGTGAGCGAGTCGTCGTTCGGCTACCTCCGGGGACGTTAAGGTATCCTGGAGGAATTTGTCCTTATTGCCCCTGAGTCAGGGCAACGGGCGTATGACCCCATCCCAAAGGGTTTCGCCCTAACCCTAGATGCCCTTGAGGCCAGGTTACGCTTCCCCTTGCACCCTGTCATCAGCTCTTGTATCTCGTGGTGGCGTATTTCCCCGTCCCAGATGGCGTCGAACTCTTAGCGTTATCTTGTGGCCTTCCTAGGGGAGTGCCACTATGCCAATATTACCCCAACCCGATGTTGAATCTCGGATTTTGATGATAAAATCAATTGATGGGTTAATTGATCTAATCCATATTATTGAGTTAAGTATGCAGGATTAACTACGATAACCAAAAAACATAAAGCAAGAATACCGGAGTCAAGTTCGATGGACGTTTAAGAGTCCAAAGAATTGTCGGAGATGCTGCAGGAACCAACCGAAAAGAAATTGGGAACCTATCGAAATTTTTGAAAGTTCGCCGAAGAGATCATCGGAGGTTCGCGGAGATCACCGAGAAGGCTCGGCTACTCATTGAAGTCGTCACAAGATCGGGAGCTTGCTGGGAGTCCGTCGGAAGAAATCCAAAGGCATATCGGAAGTCCGCCGGAAGTTCGTCGGAAAGCTCGCCGGAACAAGACTCGAAATTCGCGGTTGAAAACTTGCTTGGGATGTTTTTAGTTATGTAGTTCACATGTAATTAGGATTAGGATTAAAAGATAATCCTATATCCTGGTTAGGGGCCAACTGGGCCCAAAATTAGACTTGGTTTGGGCTAAATTTGAAGCCCAACCAGTGAACCGAAGGGTCTGACGGTGGCACCGCCAGACTGGGCGGTGGCACCGCCTAGCACCCGAGAGCCAGGCGGTGGCACCGCGGGCATCGGGAATCAAAGAGAATTCAAATTTTGGAGCCCAAATTTGAATCCTCTTGAGGCCTATAAATACCCCTCAAATCTCAACTGAGATTACAACTTTTTGAGAAGCAATTGATTGAGAGAAAGGTCTTAGAAAAGTCTTAGCAAGTCTTGTCTTCAATTTGCTAGAGTGTTCACCTCCTTCTTTCTTGTTGAAAATTTGTAAGAGTGTGAACCGCTTGTAAAAAGTTGTAAGAGGGGTATTTACCCTTCCCCTTCAAGAGATTTGCTAGTGGAAGGTGGGAGCCTCATCGAAGAGGGCCTCGCAAGTGGATGTAGGTCATTTGACCGAACTACTTTAAAATCGGTGTGATCTCTGGTTTGCATTTCATTATTGCTATTTACATTACTGTAAACCTTCTTACGTGCTTTATTTCCTCATTACCTTTGCTGCACAACTTTACGAATACGCTTTCAAGTTAAGCACTTCCGAGTTCGATTTTTATTGTACGAAAGATTTGTCAAAATCGACGTTTTAATCCGCTGCACTAATTCACCCCCCCCCCTCTTAGTGCCGCTCGGATCCTAACAATTGGTATCAGAGCAAGGTTCACTCTCATATTTGGTTTGATACCTAAGAGAGATGGCTTACTCCGGCATACATGAAGGTCATTCTATCACACATCCACCCATGTTTAATGGGTCGGATTATACTTATTGGAAGACTCGTATGAGGATCTTCCTCATTTCCATGGATTTCGAGCTTTGGACTATTGTTGAAAACGGATTTCAAAAATCTTCTCTTCCGATGAGCGAATGGAATGAATCAGAGAAGAAGGTTTTTGCTTTAAACGCAAAGGCTATGAATGCCTTGTTTTGTGCACTAGACAAAAATGAATTTAATCGTGTTTCAATTTGTGATTCAGCTTTTGATATTTGGAGAACTCTTGAGGTCACTCATGAAGGCACTAGCCGAGTGAAAGAGTCCAAAATCAACATCCTTGTGCACTCTTACGAACTCTTCCGAATGAAACCAAGTGAGTCCATCGGAGACATATACACCCGGTTCACGGATGTCATCAATGGACTCAAAGCTCTTGGTAAAGATTTTACTAACTTTGAACTAGTAACTAAAATATTAAGATCCCTCCCTAAAAGTTGGGATCCAAAAGTTACGGCCATTCAAGAGGCCAAAGACCTTAAAACATTCCCTCTTGAAGAACTTATTGGGTCTCTAATGACCTACGAAATGACATGTCAAGCTCATGATGAGCTCGAGAACCCCCTTCCAAAGAATAGGAAGGATATGGCACTCACATCACAAGAAGACCACTTGAAAGGAACATCAAGTGATGAGGACAGTGACAATGACATTACACTTTTGACTCAAAATTTTAAAAAATATTTAAGAAAGAATAAATTTAAAAATAATACAAAAAATATATTCGAACACAAGAAGGACCAAGTGATTTGCTATGAGTGCAAAAAACGGGAATACTACAAAAACGATTGTCCTCAAGCCAAAAAGAGAACATCAAAGAAGAAGGCGCTCAAGGCAACGTGGGATGATTCAAGCGCGTCCGAAGAAGAGGAGTCCAACACCGAGCAAGTTGCTCGTTACGCTCTAATGGCCATCGGAGAAGAGATAACGGATTTAATTGATGCAGATTTACCTTATCATGAATTATTAAATGTCTTCCATGAGTAATTTGATGAATGTAAGACAATTAGTAGAAAATACAAATTGCTAAAAAAGGAGCATGATAGTCTCACTTGTAATGTCGATAAATTAAAGGCTGAATATCATGATAGTTTAGCTCTATGTATAAAATGTCATGATCTAGAAACTCTCCATAAGGAGAACATGCTACTTAAGGACACCTTGAAGAAATTCGAGGTTGGTAGCAAGTCTTTGAACATGATCCTTACAAACAAGGGTTACGTTCCTAAAAGAAGTGGAATCAGATTTATGAGAAGTCTTCACCAAAATCCAACCACCTTCATTAAAGGACATGTTCGGCACCAAAGCAATTGCAACTTTTATTGTAAATATGGACATAAAACTTATAACTGTCCATTCAAGAAAATTAGTCCGAACAAACTAATTTGGGTTCCTAAAGGAACCATGATCAATTCTATGCAATATGATGAACAAGTTAAATCAGTTTTTAAGGCACCCAAAAGAAAATGGGTACCTAAAAATAATCCCTTCTTGTAGAAACATACACCATCACAAGCTAGGAGTAAGAGATGGTATCTAGATAGTGGATGCTCAAGACATATAACTGGAGATCCATCTCATTTCTCTATTATCACTAGCAAAGAAGAAGGGTACGTCACCTTCAGAGATAACAACCAAGGCAAAATCATTGGCAAGGGAACCATAGGTAA